TTTGGACCAGAAATAGCATTCAAAACCATCCTCCAACGATCACTTCAACACCGATCTCTTCACCACGCTATTACGGAGAACTCGCAAGGCAAATGGCCAACCGTTTTGTTGCCTCTCATTATTTGTTCGGCGTGTTTGTCCATGTGGTTGTAAAATCTCGCTTAGCAAAAGGGTTTTTCTCCAATCGATGGCTTCCATACGGCTCAAGGTCTTGTTACATACTGGGATGTCCAACACAATCGTAACGCGGCTTTTCTTTTTTAGTTAAGTGCTCGGCCCAGACTTCACTCTGTAAACGAGAGAGGTTACCTTAGCAGATGATTTTAGACCTGCGTGATAGTTCCTGTTGGAGTTCATCGATCTAGTTTCGTTTGATGTGGTGGACTAAAATAATGAAAACAACCGTTGTTAGTCTCAAGTATTAGGGAAATCGACTGAAGATCAACATTTAAAAGGTATTGTTAGAGTCGATGAACTTATTAAAGTTCCTGCTAATACACAGCATTAGATTCGGCAAGTTTATGACGAATGACTGCGAACAAATAAACAACTTTTCGCTAGAGGTCCTTTTTTAATTTTTTTCTTTTTTCCTTAAAATGGTGCTTGAGTTTTAGGCGTGCGGCCTATCACGAGTGCGTCTTAAACACGAGCTTTTATGGTTGTTGGGGTCAAAGGTATGTGGTATTCTTTGTGCTGAAACATCCTTTTGCGTGTATTTTTTAGAGGAGGAAATGGCGTCACTCGAAGAAGATATGGTTCTGGACGGAGAGGAAAATGTGGGTTCTGAAGAGTTATTGGATAAAGAGATAGCAGATGTTTCTGTTGAGGGACAATCATCAAGTGGTGAAGGAGCGCAGAGTGGGAGGAGTTTGAATATCACAGTGAAGTGCCAAACCTTGGAAGGTCTCGAAAAACTTTGGCAAGACTATAGTTCAGGTCATCTCAATAGTGTAGCGGAGGAACTTCTTGTGACAGATGATATCAAGAAAAAACTAGGTGTGGAATCTATAAAGTTGAAAACAGTGATTACAGAGGAGTCTTACCTGGCATGCAAACGGTACCTCTTAAACAAGTTAGGTGAGTTCTTAGAAAAACTCTTTGCATCATAATGAAACTCAGGGCTGGGTTGTTCAAAACTAAGTTAAGATAACCTGGGGTTAGTGTGAAATCTGACCTCAGGTATGAAAGCTTTAAAAGAATATTCAGTATAATTCTTTTTGTCTACATTGTGATGCTTGGATGCTCCAAAAAGAATAGAGATACTTATCTGATAAAAGGCTTTTGAAGAAAGAAATAAAGAAACCCAGGTTAAATCTTAATCCTGGGTTATCACTAATAGGCCTTCAAACAACTGGGCCCAGGAGTTTACCAGCTTATTTTGCCTTATTATGAATTCTCTTTCTTAATGGTCAGCATGATTTTTATTCTTTAATCCCCACGTATATTACCCTTCTTGGCCTCACTTTGGATTGAGAATTCTATTGGTTTTAAACTTGTTGTCAAGACCAGAAGGCTAATTTACAAATAGTTAAAAGCATAGCAAATAAGCCCTTTATTAAAGGGGTATATAATGCGTTCAATGTGACTAGTGTGTGACATGTATGGGGATAATATTGGCAGCATAGCTACAAATTGAGTTGCACTGGAAATTTGTTTTTGGTTATGGGTAGGTGTAGTTAAGGAAGTAAAGGCATATAAAATATAAGTAAATGTGTCGTAGTTCATCAAGTTCAAAATTCTACTGCCTTCAATTTGATGATCCGTGTTAAGAATGAATGTATGTCTCCTGAGTGCACTGAACATCTTGCTATTGGCATGTATTGTCAATTCTCCTTAAATTTAAACTTGAAGTTGATGAACAAAGATTAGTTGGTTATTACTCAAAACAATGTGTAAGCACCCTTCTAACTGATACACTGGCATTAATATTTTATAGATGCCAGCTCTGATCAGTCCTCATCATCCACACAAAGCTTAGAAAACATGCAAGAAGCCAGTTCAGGTCAGCAGCTGATGCAGTTGTTGGGAGAGCCCAGTCCACGAAGTTTGCCCAGCCAGGGCAGTGTAAATCAAGATGAAGAAAAAATGAACTAAGAAAAAATCTGGAATGGTCAAAGTGACTGTTACTTGCCAGCAAATGGAAAGGAACTTGTTGCACACTTCAACCAAGATGTGTAAAGTCACATCTTTTGTTTGTTCTTAATTTACTCTTGTTGTGTATAAATAACTATGTGGAAAAAATTGTGAATCTAAATTCAAGGCTACTTTAATAAATATAGGCATGGGTAGCATGCAAGAGTCATTGGTTTGGCTAGACAGGTTATGATTGGATACTTTATGTACCAAATGTTTTTGTAACAGAAAAAGAGCATAACTTTAAAACAGACGAAAATATTGCATTACTTCACCTTGAGAATAACAAAAAAGCTTATTCAACTGAACTCACACAGGTATTTTGTGGTCTGTTGTATCTTTTGGCTAAATACTTAGCAAAATAAAATGCATGGGTGCCACGTTTACTGTTGTTCCTCTCGCAGCCATTGTTTGGTCTTATCACACACCACTATATATTCCCTGTTGGAGAGAGAATGCATTGTGTGACGAGACTAAATAATGGTTGTGAAAGAGACTATGCCTGCTGTTGTTCCTCTAACACAGAGAAAATAAAAATTATTCGTCTACAGTTGGTTGCCTTAAAAATATAATTCCACCTCATTTTACTATGAAAAGCAAACTGAAACCCTGTTGTCTCCAATAGACCCTAGCCAAAGATATACTGTCATCTCAAATAAGTGAAGATACATTGAAGAAGAGAAAAGAATAATGTTTCAAAGGGGGCTCCTTGGTTGGTTGTTGACTATCTGGACTTTGCCCTCTGTGTGTGAAACATGTGATAAAATACAGGTTGGTTACAAGGAAGCAACGTGATTGGATTGAGTTCAAGGAAGCTAAAAGCCAATTTTCATCATAGAAAAATTCAAAACACAGGAGAATAAATTATTGTGTGGAAAATTTACTATCAGCAGCATTTAGTGAATATTTTTCAGTGGGGTTGGACAAAGTGGTTAGAAAATGTGATTAAATGTTGGTTGTTTACAAGGAAATCACACATAATGGAGCAAAGTCTAATTAGGGTAACTGGAATTTGATTGGTGGAATACAATTCAAGCATGTGAAAATTGCCTAACATGCATGTGGTACAATGATTAGGTATGTTCTAATTGGACTTTGGACATTGTTTTCATGGTGCATGATGGAATGCAAGTCATTTGGCACACAAGTTGTCAGTAAAGGAGTGGAAAAACATGTGTTAACTTAAAAATGATGTGAACCTTTCACATCCTGATCAATCTCGACCTTGATTGATGAGGCTCTTGCAAAGGCCACAAAACATTACACATCAAATGAGCCCAAAATTCATGATTTATGTCATTCTTTGTGCACAGCCCCCTGATTCCATGACATCATTTGCAAGAAAGCTGTGATGATTGGTGCAAGATACAAACCCTAAACATTCTGATTAGTGCTAGATATCCAAATGCTGTGATATGATTGGTGCAAGACATTCTCTAATGCCACAGTCTGACTGGTGCAAGATGCATACTCTAAATGCTGTGATTGGAGTAAGATATCCAAATGCTGCAATGATTGGTGCTTGATGCAAACCATTATGCAACAATCTGATTGGTGCAAGATACATACCCAAATGCCGTGATCTGATTGGTATGAGATACATACCACTCTACATGCAAACATAGTTGTTTTTTTCATTAAAAAAATAACTCAAAAATTTATCAAAGGAACTAGTATGATACTATAACATTGAAGAACAGAATGAGTATGAAGTGATTTTAATTCTCTACCTTTCCTATGGGAACTTAGCAACATTTGTCCATTGAAAAATAAAAAGTGAGTTGTTAACTCAGAATCCCATTTTTAAAAAATTTTTAACACCTGTCATTAGAATTGACTTAAAAATTCTCATTGATTAACATTTTGATTGTTGCTTGCAGTTGGCCAATGGGATTTGCTATTTGCTTGTTCTTTCCTGATAACTTTTTCATAGGATGGCATTGAGAATGCTCCTTAGATATTGCACTATATCACTGACCTCCTTTGCAGCTGTCAGTGTCTTTTTAAAACATACTTCCTTGAAAGAAAAGTGTCTCTGAGAGGAGATGGCAGATAAGTGTCTCTGGCAACTGGAAAGTGTGAGACTGATTGAACAGGAAGGAACACAAAATACTAAATTGGCCGGTTACAAAAAAATATATATATATGAAGCTATAAAACTTATAATTTAAAAATGGTAGACCCTCATTGTACTAATCATTTATAATGTTTATGTACTATATCTAGATAACCATAACTTTTAAAAACCCAACAATTCAATAATACGACACAATGCTGGTACAAGGTCTTAAATGTCCTCAAATTATAAATTACCCTAAAAACACAATAACATGTATCAGGATTCTGTCAAAAAGGAACTTATTTTCCTCGGATCCATGCTTCTTTGAGGACAGCAGCACTCTTTGGTGCTTTATACCTTCGCTGATAAGATGGTTTGGTTGCTGCAGGCAATGCTGGAAAATCTCTTTCAGATATACCACCCCTGTTTGTCTCCACATTCCAAGCAGTGGCACCAGTTTGCCAAACCCCAGGCAAGGGTGGCTTTTTGTTGACCTTCCCATTCTTATTTTTTTCATCTTGATGCTTTGCTATAACTTTAGCATCTTGATGGATAGCTAACAGTTCTTTTCGTTTATCAGGATCAGGCAATAAATCTACCAGTTCTGCAAAAACTTGAGAAAAGTTAGACTCGAATAATTCATAACACTGAGCATAGTATTCTTCAGCAGAACAAATGCTCTTGCGAAACTTTCCAGATAATTCCTTGAACTCTTCAAATTTGGACTTATCATATCCTAATAAGACTCTTATTTTTTCAACTAAAGCTTGATTTCTCTCTTGAACACTACTGTTTGTCTTAACCTCTGTTTTAGTAACAGGTGCTTCTTGTAATGGTGCCACATTTTCTTTAATCTTCTCCTTAGAAGTTGCCTCAAAGGGTGTCTGAAAACCAGGAGGGGGCTTAGCGCGAGAAGTCTGCTGTGTTATAGCTAAAGGTGGAGGCTGACGAGCTGCTGAAGCAAATCCTGGAGGTACAGGTGGTGATTGTTCAGATCTTTGACCAGAAGCAGATAGAGAGGGAAAGTCATTGACTGAGTATGGCGGATGAGAAACAGATGCATACAAAGGAGGTTTCGTGGGTTTATTACTCTTCTTAGACTCTTTATCTGCACTTGTAACCTCTAAAGAATTTAGCAAAACTGGGAACTGAGCTAATTCCTCTGTTTCTTTAGCAGGTTGCCCCCCAACTGCTCCATCTTCTTCTGGCTTGTGCTTCTTAGGTTCTTGTGGCTTAGATGAAGGTGAGGGAAGCTGTGAAGGGTCCCCTGAGGATTCACTCAAAGAAAGAGCCATGGCAGTCTGTAGCTCTAAGGCCTCTTTCCTAAAATAAGGAGACAGAGGTGAAAAATTCACAAAAATATAGCAAAACTCCCTCAAAGAAATAACAGGTGGAATATTATTTTTATTTACATCAAAACAAAAGAATTATAACACATATAATTATGACCCTTGAAATTCTACCTAAATAACAGGTAAGAGCCAGGGAACCAGCAAATGTTGTTACAACACTCTTCTTGTTTCTCAAGAAAGGCTTCTTTCCCCAAATTTTGGTATTGCCACACACTAACAGTCCACATATGAAATTGACTGGCATAACTGCTGTAAATTATTCAGGTTCATACAGAATGAAGCTGAGTGTTGCTACTGCTCCTAGATGAGATGTCAATATGTTGACAGTTATGCCCCCACATTTTGCCAAGTTCACTTAACAATCTGCTGGTAGCAATTTGTAGCCCTGATAGGTAAGTACACTGGCTGTAAAGTACCTTGCTAACAACATAATGCAATAAACCTTGCCCACATTTTTACCACAAATTTTTGAAGCAGAGTTCATGGCATTTACTGTAAGGGCCTTGTGGAACAAAGGTTGAAACTCTGTTTAAGGTACCGGTTTATGAAAGTAATCAAGTACAGTATGTCCCTTGCAGTTGCAGCTAATGAACACCTTTATAAAGTAATTGTAATAAGGCAGTTACCTGATAAGGCTATCAGAATGTGATCATTTACAATTGTGTATACAAGAATGAAAAAGGAAATAAACAAGGCAAAAGAAATAACCCTCCATAGAGTTTTATTCCTGACTCTTCTGCTGCTAGAAGATTTACTGGTACATCTCTGCCACTACAAACCTGTTTGGCCCTGAAAAGTCTCCTCTTCTTCCTACTTTTTCTCTTTTTCCCTTTCTTTGTTCTGAAGTTCTCACTTCCACAAAATCTCCAGCAGTAACTGAACCATGATTTGTCTGAGGCCTTGGCCGTGGAGCAAAGGTTATATCAACATCTAACTGACGAGCCTGACGAGCCTGTGCTTTACTCAACTTTCCAGAGTGCTTTGCTGCCCGATGTGCTTGAAAATCAACCTTTGTTCGAAAGACAGAAGTAAACTGTTCATGAATACAATCGTCTTCTTCACAAAGAAAGTGAAAATCACGAAAGTGCTCTCGTAGATGTTTATAATCAGGATAGTAGTCCTGACTTCCATCCCGTTCACAGAAGTGACACCAAAAATGATCCTTACGCAGGTGCTTGTGAAGCTCGTCATTGTCAAGATAACGCTGATCACAAAATTCACAACGAGGGTGTCCCTTGTGGGATTTGTCATCAGAGTCACCAACTCTGCGGTGTCGTGCCAGGTCAGAACGAGAGTAGGCTTTCAGTTCAAAGCTGAACTTTTGCAAATTTTCCACACAAAGATCACAATAGAACATTTCGTGTTCCCGCTTCATGTGATCACGGAGACGGCCAAATGATCTCTCTGGCTGGCGGCTTGGGCAGAACTGACAGCGATGTTCCAAGAGTTCCTTAACTTTGTCTTGGATGCCTTTATGTTGGTAATGAATGTTGTGTCGTTTATCATTCACAAAGGAACCTCCTCTACCAGCCAGTTTTGCATAACTGGTCATGTGTTTAGTTATGAATACCTGAAGGAAAATGGCATACAAAAGATTAACCCTTTAATTCCTAGAAGTGATTTACGTGTAACAGCCAGATGGGAGAATTAACAGTCAGATCTTGGGAGTTCAAAGCTTAAATATCTCCAACATAATAATTGACTACTTAAAATTTAATTGCCAAAGGCACAGTAATAATATGTATTGTTGATTTTTTCTCAAGATAAAGATGAGGAAATAAATTGTCAATTTACCCTAGTGGCAAGGCCAATGAATTTTTCATAGTATAGTTTCACGGGTGATTAGCAGAGCGACTGGATTCTACTTTGCACAAAATTTAGCATGTTCAGCCATTTTCAAAACAGTGGTTGACTATTATCACCGCCTACGCATAGTGATCATAAAAAGAAATGAATCATTCCTCAATCAATCCGGGATCACCCGAGAAGCATTCATTATCAAATATTTATATCAAATATATGGACTACATAAGCTCTCTTGTTTTACTCACGACTTATCAATCTTACAAGACCTCTCTGTGTGATTATTAAACGAAAGTGATTTTGTTTCACTATCACCTCAGATTTTTAGCAGACTCGTGAGCTTGTAATCATAAATGAACTAGTATATTTAGACATAGTTTAGCTAGAAGGGCTCTCTGCTATAAAGAAGTTGCAATGCGATAGGAAAGCAACCTGGAGTTGTGGAATGCTCGAAGAGTAATAATTTTTGCACAAGGCTATGAAAAATGCTTCTACAAGCACTTTCATTCAAAGTTCGATCGTCTTACTAGTGAGCCGGTGTTACTTTTAACTCATCTAATTTAAAGATTCAATTTCCCTGTTTACACAACATTATATTGTAAACATCACAGGTTACTTCCATTTCAATGATACTAACCTGCTTCAGTTCTGTTCGGCACACTGGGCAGTAAATTTCCTTCCCGAGTACACGCATTCGAACACAACACTTGTAGCAAACACAATGGTCACACACTCCAATGGCGAAAAACTCAATATCCTCGCAACAAACAACACAAACATTTAAGGAATCTCTTCGAACGACTTTAGAACTCATCTTCCGTTCGTTTTCAGCCGAGACACAAAGATAAAAGTTACAGAATTCAAGCTCTTTTGATGACGGTCCAAACGTGGTAAAAATGGCCGCTTGATCAAAGTGCATAATGTCCAAATATAGAATAACTCTTTATGTACACCAGTAAACCGGAAATGCGTCATTGTGCTGAAAAAGCGATTTTTGATAACCAGCGGATCACCACTGAAACTATTATGGTCTATCCCTTACCCGGTCTCTGCTAAGGTTGCAGTTTTACAAGTAATAGGGACGAAAATGTTGCCGTTATCGCGGAGGTTGCCATCAATTTCGAAAGGAATAAGTTGTGCAACTTCTTCTGTGAGTAACTGCCGTCTTTTTATGTAATTTTGTCGCGTATTGAAAGAGAAAACGAGTATGAGATGTGGCGACATGTTCTGGCGTGATATTAAGTTGGTTTACCTTAGTTGACGTGTGTATTCGCCTAACAATGTGAAATTTATGTTTTATAGAAAAGATTGTACGCCTATGCAGCTTCTCCGCTTAATGAACCGTTGGCAGATACACAGACAGGAGCTGGAGAGGGTGTTGATCTCACTCCCCAGAGTGTGCAGGTTTGTAATAATAAAACAGGATACTTACGTTATTCAAGTGAGAGGAAGTACTGAACGCAGGGTCACCAAGGTTCAGTTAAAGGGTCTGTTTGGTAAAACATTGAACATTGACATGAAAATTGCCGTGAAAATTGCCGTCGTGACTCAGTTAGAAATATACAAAGAAGTGAATCTGTCTTCCATACCTTCAAAGTTCTACATCCAACATAGTTTGGTGCTCCTGCTATGTGGAGCAATATATAACCACAAAAGACAAACCTGCTGGTTGTAATAGCAGAAAGAACTTGTTGTCACTTTTACCTACAAATATACTGTACCAAACGAAGGAGGTGTTTTCTTTTTGTGCTTAACATGCTTTCAAATCAACATCAATTGTATATTTCAAATGCAATTTAATATTTATTTGTTAACCACTCTTGAACTTTATAAAGAAATGGGCCTAGTTTAGGCAAATAAGCATCATGCTATATATTGCATTGCAAGTAAACTCAATGACATGTATTCCATGTTTTAAACTCAAAGTATCATAGAAGGTGTTTGTGAAGAAGGGTAATAGCTGGTGAATTGTGTAACTTTAGTGATAAAACAATAGAGTTTCTGTGCAGTAACTGGAGAATTCTCCATCTCCATTGCCTAGTTCCCCAACTTCAAGATTGCAAGCCACATTTTTTATTAGTAGTTCATGTTGACACTTGGAAATAAGTTAACTGTTGCCAGGACTCATCATAGGAAAAGTTCATTTTAAGTGGTGGATTATTTAATAGTAGATGACTATTTGAGCCTGGGAACTTAAGCTGTATCTGCATGGGAGCTCATTGGTCTTGTATTGTGAATTTAACACTACTCACCTTTGCAGGTTACTACTTTGGAAAATGGCCTGAGAGTTGCTTCTCTGGAGACACATTCTCCTAAGAGTCGCATAGGGTTATTTATTAATGCTGCCAGTCGTCATGAAACACCAAGCACACTAGGTATTACCCATGCTCTGCGTAGTGCTGCATTTTTGGTAAGTATTGGGTGTAGTTGAGAAATCCAACTTTTAGTTCTTTTGAGAAAAATTTTATTTAATCTCTGTCAGCAGTAACATTTATTCATAGTTCACTTATGTTGTTTCCAGGGTAATGTGGACTATTCAGGATTCAGAATTACTAGAGAGCTAGAACATTATGGAGCAACTCTAGAGTATGTTATCATTTTCTCACAATTCATTTAAGTATGTTGTGTCTGCTTGTTTTCTATTTTCACCTGTTGCATGTAGATTTCATCTGATTTACACTTTTCATTTTTGACCTTAGAAGATTCTTCTGCCCTGCATTCTATGAATATGTTTGTAAATTGTGTAGCTATCTATATTTTCCACTATATCGCCAGAGTCTTTGACAACTGTGATATTATTTCAGGGCTACTTGTAACAGGGAGAACCTCGTTTACTCAGCAGACTGCCTTCGGAGCAATATGTAAGTGCTGATTTGCAAATATAAAATGTGTTTGTAGATAAGACAATATGGCCATTACTTATTTTTAAAGTAGTGATTAAATTCGTAGAACGGAATGGAATTAGTGTTTATATGGCTACTTGTAAAGGGTAAAAATGCTCAAGAATGTTCTTCATTTGTGTGTGAAAATCACAATATAAAGAACGATGTTCTTCCTTTTTTATTTGTCTCCTTCAGTTTGTTTGTCTTTTGTTTTCAAACTGAGGTTGTGTGAAAAATGAAGAATGACATCAGCCTAGCTGATACTTTTGACAGTTTTACTGCCTTTATATTACGAACTTTTTCCCATTTTTAAACTAATGCTCATTAATTTTGCTAATAATTTACAGTGGTTTGGTAGTTGACAACCTCGCCAACATTGTGAAGAAGCCAACCTTCTATGGCTGGGAGGTGTGTGTTTTGCAATGAACTTTCTTATACACTAGATTTACATGAAGGTTTTCATGATTATACATGCGAAAATGCAAGTGCCTTTTGGTGGACAGATGCATGTATTCTTTTGATTCCAGAACTTTTGTCTTTTTTAGGCTGCAAAGTATAGAAGAAGATACAGCGTTGATTTGCCTTTCTCTCAGTGTTGCTATATTTGCATGTATCATATCTTCTTTTAGTTTGGAAATTGTTTCAATGTTTTAATTACTTCTTGTTGCAGGTTGACCAGGTGACAGATCGTTTAAAATTAGATCTTGCAATAAAAGATGCTCAGCCACCAATAAGTATGTTCAACATCAATACACTCTTCTGAGTTTTAAGCTATAAAAAAATTAAGATACACTTTCTCTAAAAGCAGTCTGATGCATTTTGGTTCAAAAAAATCAATTTTTATTTTGTGAAAAGGCAAGCTTGGCAACTTGAGCCAATTTTTGAATATCAATGCTTTGAAAAATTGGCCTTTAAGCAAATTTTGCTCAGCAAAATTCATCTTGCAATTTTCGGAAGAACTGAGGGTATTTCAGACAGATTCCTGAGCAAAGTTTGAAAGAGATCAATTATTTGAGCCAAAATGCTCAGGACAGCCTTTGGAGAGACTGTCTTAATTCAATTAAGTTTTCTTTTATTTTGATAAATTTACTTGTATCTTTGAGGCTATTGCCTCCTATAGGTGGCAAAGTCATTATGTTGTTGAGATGAGTGTGTGAGTGATTAAGTGTGACAATAGAATTGTATTGTCCTTACCAGTTGGTGTGAATTTAAACTGAAAGTTTATCTTCTTCATTCATGTACATGTCTTTTACTTCTGTAACATGATCAAGTAATATGTTTAAAAGTCTGGTTTTCATTGTGTGTTTAGATGTTGTGGAAGAGCTTCACAGAGTTGCATTCAGGTGTGTTCTGTCATTCTTATGCATAGTAACTATGATAATTTGAGTTAGTGTCAAGGGTTTTTATTTTGTAACAAGTGATTAGTGTCATGTACAAATGTAATTGAGGAATTTTCTCCACATCTTAATATAAATTAGCTCAGGTCTCTGAAATTTAGGCAGAGAATCTTGGATAGCAGCTGGAGAATTCTCTGAACTGCAAAAGTAGAAGAAAATTAAGAAATTATAGGAGAATTCCTCAAAGTTCACATAAACTTTCAAGAAAATTCCAACTGTGGAATTGAATCATTCATGTACATCTAGTGCTGTTACTGGTAAATTATATAATCAACTCCAGTCAAAACTGGGGAATGGCTGCAGAATAAATTTCATCAGCACTTGTGATAAAATGGGGTGAAAGAAGTGAAATGAAGATGGCAGACTAGCCAGTGGTTTTGACCAGTTACTGGCTTTTATTGACTGTTTTGCTTAATAGATTCATAATGTGCACAGTATGCTAAGCTAAGGGTGGACAGAGTTTGAATTTTTTATTTTTTCAATTTTTCACTTCAGGAAAACATTGGGAAATTCACTGTACTGCTTGCCACACAGAACTGGAAAATTTTCATCTGAATTGGTGAGAAGATTTTAAAGTATTTATAAATTGCATGAATTACTTTCCTGTGATTTATTAATATAATAAATAGAGACCAGTGTTAAATGTACAACTTGTTCAACTCAGTGTTCATAACTTGCTCTACATAACACTTCACAAGTGATATAGTGATTTACACATAAATTGGTGATAATAATACTAAGGTGCCAATTTTCAATATGGCTACCATATGCTTTTTCACTGTATGACGTTTTCAATATTTCTGAAGAAGAAAATTATGAAAATTGCAGTTGCTGTGGTATATTCATTAGGGACCCATTTTGGGGTTGTTTGAAGGGCAGGTAAAGTCATCCAATGGATTAATTTGAATCAAGTTGATAAGTGTTGAAAAAATGTTCTGTACTATCCACCTGATAAGAGATTTATCCAATGGACAGCAATTTCTATCCTTTGAACATCTGGGGCCAGATTAAATTGTGCTGAGAGAATAACTCTCAGCAGAGGCAAGCACTACTATGAAGTAATCTGGACAATTTTTACCATGCCTATGGTGAATGACTCTGAAATACATTTACTATTTTGGTTGAGGGGGGAGGGGAGAGGAAGAGTTTGGTTGAATTTTTATAATCTCAAGGTCTTATTAGAAACTTTAATTTATTATCACTCAGCTAAAAGAGTATACTCAGGAGTGTTATGTGGGGCAGCGCATGACTCTTGTTGGAGTAGGTAAGTTTGAATTAGAGATTGCTAGCTATGATCAAACACTTTATGGAGCACAGTCAGCTTAACATGAACATGTGTAAAAAGAAAAGCTCAACAAGGTACTGTCCATCAGGATGTTGTCTTCTTGTAACTCTGAAATGTCATAAGGTAGCCTTTTGTATTGAGGTGTGGTTAGAGCTATTTGGAAATTTGAATTGTAAGTTGTACTTTAAGAAGGAAAACTATTGAAAATATGACTCAAGTTTCCTCTTAAACATTCTCCTGATGTGACATCCCCATAAAAATTATTTTCTGAAATGTGTGGAAAGTGTTTCTTGACATTTTATAATTTAAACCTCCAAGTGTTTCAAACAATCCTCCAATCAAACATAATCAGAGAGTAAATATCATAAAGTTCATTGAAAAGGTTAATTTGGATGAAATTGTTCACAAGTGACTAATGATGCTTTAGGGTTAATGTAGTTGTATGATGCAGAATAGTTGAACTATTCTCTAATGCTTTCTATTCTCTAGTGCTTTCACCCCTAGTAGACACTAGGCTCTGATTTTTTTTTCCACAATGACACAGAATGATTCATTTCATTCCACAGGGGTTGATCACAGTCAATTGGTAGACTGGGCCAAGTCGACTCTCTCCTTCCTACCCAAAGGTGAACCAGCCACCAAAGAAGCTGCAAAGTATCATGGAGGTAAGTTAGGGATATGTTTTAAAGGATACAAGATGAACCAATTAATGTAATGGTATGCAGTGGTATTCAAACTTTGAATTGTCACCTTGTTGGGAAGTGTGACAATCTTCACAAACTCAATTACCATTGGCTGGCTCTGTGAACAGTGTGGGAAGCTGTTACTGCCAAGCCTTTGCTTGGCTATTATCATTTGCCAACCCCTTTTGTGTTCCTGATGAGAGCTTGTTGTGTCTAAAATGATTGTCATCCACTGTAAATGATGTTGTGTACATGTGGTGATTTGGTTTTAAGTGTTGTACAGTGCTGCCAACTCTAACTTGAAACATGTATGCCTTCCCCTTACATCACCCAGCAAAGAGGTGATCAGGATAGACAAACATATTAACTGAGGGGTTGTTTTCTTGACTTAATAATTATTCAGGCTAATTTACACAGGAATGTATTTCAACTGTAAGGGGGAGTTGCTAATTAGATCCTGGGTGTTAAAGTACCATAGTCAGTGAAGTTTCCCAAGAGAGGGTTTCATTAAAGGTGCTATTTAGTAGTATATTTAGAAATGGCAACAGCAGTATATTGAACAATGATGTACCACTGTTTGATGAATTATACTACATGTGCATGTAAAACAGGTAGATTGCTTGTTCATTCAATACCACTCTGATTGACTCTCTTATCTTTTTAAACAGGAGAAGTTGTTCACTTTAGTTCTGGACAACTTGTCCATGCTGTGCTAGCAACAGAAGGAGCTAGGTTAGTGCATATTCACTCACAATTCACATATTTAAACAGGTTTTATTTAACTTTTTTATGGTTTTGACCCTCTCCACCAGGTTACCTCTACATAGACAGTTTTGTTACATTTTTCACCATACTTTATCCTCTTTGTGGAACTCATTCCTTATCTGTAACTTTACTGAATTTTTCAGCTTAGGAAGCAAGGATCTTCTTACATTATCAGTGTATCAGGTGAGGACTGACTCATCTTTAAATTTTTTACTTGTAAATTTACTTTTGATCCCACTGTTGTATTAGATTACCGCTAGTCTTTTCCAGTCATAGCTGTCTGGGTGGCTGGCAAAAGGGCTGTAATTTGGCAATGGGTTTTTTTGAAATATAGACAAGCTTTTTATTGAGTAGCTGTTATGTCATGTTTGTTATGTTTACAGAAAATCCTTGGGGCAACACCTTACATTAAGTGGGGAAGCAACTCAATATCAAACAGGTATGGCATCTCTCAATCCATACTTAGTAATGTGTATTTTTTGTCATTTAACCCTAGAAACTGCAGAAGGCAAGAAGATCATAAATCATGCAATTATTGTAGTATTAAACAAATTGTGAGATTTCAGAGGAACTAGTGTTCTTCCTAGTCAGCTCTTTATTGAATTTCATGATTTTTGGGAAAAATAATTTGAAATTGTATGGACTGGTTGTGATGCTCATGAGAGAGGCATGAAAAATGAAAACCAGAAGTTTGTTTAATCATAACAACAATCTAGTCATCCTACTTGTTCTATTACAAAGTTTGGTAAATCTTCATGGTTTGTATTGTTAATGAAAGCTATGTAACCTAGCCTTAAGTACTTGATATGGTCACCTTCACTTGGTAACAGAAATGGACATTGTTCTCTTCCAGGCTTCTAATGACTGCAACTGAATCCACAAGTGGAGCAGTAGCTGTAAGTTCACATTTCACATTTTAGTTTCTTTTCCCATGCAACAAACGATTCTCATTTGTAAAAATTGGAGGTCATATCTGTTTGGCAGGAGCCTTGCCTTTGATCTTCTTTCTCTTGTGGGCAGAGTGGAGATCATTTCCCTAATATTGACCGGTAATTGAGCCTGCATTGAGACTTTTTCACACAGAATGCAATTTTTAATGGAGTATGTGGTTGTTGTGTCTTTGGGAGATCATTTCTGTAATATTGACTGAACATGAATCTCAGGAAAGGTTTACCAAAAATAGTAGACTCCTTTGGCATGGTCTACCTGTAAGCTTCAAATACAGTGCTACAAAAAAGGTTTCAAAATGGTTAGTAACTCAATGTTTTCATTTCAATTAGGCATCAGCTTTCAATGCCAGCTACTCTGACAGTGGACTTTTTGGATTTTATGTGGTTGCAGAGCCTTCAGATGTATCCAAGGTACAAATTACTTTTTTCTCTTGGTTAATTTAAAAAGGATTATATTGTTTGTTTGTTTGTTTGTTTTTTTGGTTTTTTTTTTCAACTAAATAACTTTGAGTTGATTTTAATTTTTTCTAACCTTGCAGGTTATGAAATCAGTGATTGGCCAGTTTTCCAAAGCCTCTAAAGGAGATATCTCTGATCAGGAGGTTACCAGAGCAAAGTGAGTCATGTTAAAAACAACAGTGGTACAACTTACTTGACCTATTCTCTCCCCCCCTAGTGGAGCATTGCTCCAAGGAAAACTGGCTTCCATCTTTCTCTGTGCTGGGCTGTCTTCTCAGTTAGATGTGCCCCTAGGGGTAGCCTGCCCTGTCCATCTTGTCGTCCCTAGTTTTTCCACAGCTGTTCCTGGAATGACCTTGATTCTTGTGGGTTCCATCCTCCTGTAGGTGCCACCCCAGTGCATGCTTGTAGACACTACAATTTGGTTTTCTGAGGGTGTGCCCAATTTAACTCCAATTTTGCCTTCTGATCTAGATGTTGATTATTTTCTGTTCAGCTTTTGCCATACATTTCTTCAATCCTTTTGACCTGTTTATGGGGTAAACTGTGTAGAGAGGATTTTCCTCAAGGTGACATGTCTACTCTTTCTTGACTAAGAGGGTGGTCATAGCCTTCCTCCCCGGGACCTACCTGTGACTTCTCCTTTCCAGGTCCATTAATAAGTTTTATAAGTTTTATAGTCTGACTTGCTGGTATGAAATTGGTGGGACTTGTTTTATGTAAATGACAAGTCTCTTCACAATCTTTATGTTCATGTTGATATTGCCGCAGGAACCAGATGAAAGCACATATTTTAATGAATGGTGAAAGTCAGGAGACGCTGTTTGAAGATATCGGCTCACAGGTAAGTTTTATGTAACAGAAATGGTCATTTATGCCATGTGTAGGGAAATAGCATTTTGCTGGACTCAGATGGGTCCTAGTTGTACTCTTAAGACCTTAAAGGAATGTTGTCTTCATCAGTTGTTGGGTGGGACTCGAGATCGTATAGGCGATGCCTGTTTCAACCCAGTTACCTGAGGTGTACTAGTTTATTTCTCGAGGCATTTAATTTTACAGTCCTGGGGGTGAAAAAATCTAGCACCACACCTATGTGGAGAAGAAATGGACCAGAGTACGTCGCTTCAAATTCTCGAACCATTGGAATTTTATAGAAGAGTAACGCGCAACGAGATTGTTGTGCTCATTTAATCCACTGTACACAATTCCACCTACATCCAAGCTTTTTTATTCTGTGTAATTCTGGTTAATCTCTTAGGCTCTCACATTTTGATTCTCACTGGATACTTCTTCTTCAACTGCGGAATTCTGACTGTAATCTAGTGCACACTGTCTACATTATTTTAGTCTTCTCTCTTTTCTCCCTTTTCCCCTCTCTTCTAAGCAAACTCTAAAGAACTTGCTTATATATTCACTATTGACAGATACGGGTGGGCATGCCAACTGGCGGACCTTGAGAGATCAAACATTTGTTGTTAGAACGCTTAACCAAACAATTTTACTAGACTTTCGATCTGAACAACAAAGTACTTTATCATAATAGTTTTGATCAACTGAGTCAACTTCTTCGAAACAAGAACTTTCGTGTAGGTTCAAAGCTTGGTCAGTAACAAACTAAGCGCGTCCACTTGTGGAAGTGAAAAGGCTGTCACTTTCGTGTGGGTTCAAAGCTTGGTCAGTAACAAACTAAGCGCGTCCACTTATGGAAGTGAAAAGGCTGTCACAATGTGGAAACTCATCACGACAGTTCAAACCGAAATAACTTCGGAAGTCGAATTCATGCATTCAATACTCTCTAAATGTAGACGAAAAATTTAGTCATACTGAACTGACTGACTTACTGACATACTGACTTACTGACTTACCGATTATAAACTAACAGAATGCTTCATAACAGGTAAAAGTAATGAACCGAGTACAAGTGATCTTTCCTCACAATTAGTTCATTCATTTTTAATTTATTAGATATCGACAAAAGGAAGTTACACAGCACCTCAAGAAGTTGCAGCTGCCGTTGACTCCGTTACAAAGGCAGATATTTTAACGGTAGGGAGAAGTTCACCTGCGAGTATTGGTAGGGCTATTTCTGGGGATTCGTTGAGTTTAAGTCAACAATTCGAACCAGTTGTAATTGGAAATTGAAAAGCAAAGACGTATTGATAACAGGGTTCGCACGGGCTCTGGAAACCCTGGAAAGTCCTGGAATTGTAATTTGACATTTTTCAAGGCTGGAAAGTCCTGGATAAAGACTGCAGATCCTGGAAAGTCCGGAAATCCGCTTAACTCAAGTAATCGAGTTTTCGGAATTAAAGTTATAAGAAATGTATATGGACCGTAAAAGGAATTGATTTTGAAATCTTAAGAATTGAAGGGTTTAAGGTGAAAATTGGAGCCCTAAAAGAATCAATCTGAGTACTGGAAAAGTCCTTGAAATTTGTTTTTGAAAAAGGGTACGAACCCTGGGTTAAGGAAGCACAGTGTTATGATGGTGAGGTTGGATTTAGTGATACAGCGCCGTTATGTCGTGTTCCGGAGTAAGACACTTCTGTTTCGAGAGCACTACTTTCTTCCTCCGCCTTCTTCTTTCTAATTAATTGTTAATCCTTTTTCCCCTTTTTTTTTGTCCTTTCCTTTATTTAGTAGAGTTGATGCGATCCTGCGAATTTTAGGAAGGCCAACCGAAAAAGTTTTAAGAAAGATGTTTTTTCGTCTTGTCACGAGTGTGGAATAAAGACTAAATTCTGAGTCCCCATGAGGAATCGAACCCCAGACCTTCGGATTTGCGCTCCGATGCTCGACCTCTACAGAATTTGTTCTTTATCCC